ATGATGACGGCTCATCGTCGTCATCACTGATGCTGGATACGATGCTGTGGAAAGTGCTGGCTGGCGTATGTCTCTATTATCCACTCTCAATTGGCCTGACATTCTACCAAAAATGGTTCATCAAGGTACGTGTTTTTTTTTCCAAACAGTTAATCGCGCCTAAGCCGACTGTAGCAACCAGGTTGATTTCGGAAGCCTAAGAGGCACAGTAGATTACAGCATGAAAGAACAGTATGAGAAAAGAGGGTAAGAGTGAGATAAGACGTTTCGGTCCATTAAGTCATATACATCTTAACTCAACACTGCGACAGAAGTTTCATTAATTCATTTTGATGGTAAATTGGTACTGGTGTATCCCAAGGAGTCAACATCCACCACCAACTTTCTTGCAAGCAGTCCTCGAAAAAAGAAACCATTGACAGTCTTACCAACGAGTGGTTGCTCCTAGCATTTGATAGCACTTGGGCTAATTTCTCGTATGTTTACGCCTGTTGTAAACAACGAATGCTGGGTGAATTTTGAATTTTTAACTTTAATTATAATACTAATGACACATATGATAATAACACTGATAATTTTTCTATAAAAAATGGCATTAATTTTGTAGAACTACAAACTTCCGCTGTTTGTCGTAACATTTCATTATGCGACCAAATTTTTGTTTGCTTTCGTCATCCGGTTTCTTTTGGAGTGCTACACCGGTGGGAGACGTGTACGTGTTCCGTTCAAGGATCAACTCCAGTGGCTTGTTCCAATCGGCATTTGTGCCTCACTCGATATCGGTATCCTTGATTTTTCCCCTTTTTCACTAGCTTACTGAAAAATGCGTTGTTTCAATTTCCCCTTTGAAAATAAAATTTGCCAGAGGTTTAGCAAAATGAGCTGGAACTAGAAAAACCTGATTTTTTTTTAGAAATATGAGATATTTCTTGTGTAGCGTTTTAGATCAAAGTTTATGTTGTGTTTTGCATTAAAGTTTAGTAGCCCAAACTTGAGGTTCAGTT